AACCCAGCCCAATACCACCCATTCCAACTCGACCCAGCCCAACCTAGGCCAACCAAACCCATTTCAACCTACCCCAATACAACCCATTCCAACCCAGCCCAACCCGTCCCAATACAACCCATTCCAACCCGCCCCAATACAACCCATTCCAACCCAGCCCAATACAACCCATTCCGACCCAATGCAACCCGGCCTAGCCCAGCCCAGCCCAACTCACCCCAACCCGACTCAGTTCAATCCGCCCCAGCCCAACCCAAACCGACCTAGCACAGCCCGAAACAACACATCAACCTTGCCTGAAGAACCCAACCCTAGACCGACCTGACCTAAAAACTGACCACGAACGCTTTTCAGTCACGTCAGCTTTGACAGTCGGTGTTCCATTTACACAGATGTGTGCGGAGAAGATCCCGCCTTCAGAGTCTCTCGGCATTGTGGCGTACCCAAAATTGCCAGCAGAAATGCCCAGAGTCGAATACGTACATGCCTCACTGGACAGAGTAATGCTTCCTGAAATGCTTTGTCCTGTCACGTTACGTCACGGGAACACCCTCTGTAAAACCATATCAATTTATCGGAAGGTCCATCTTGAAAAGATACATATCCGTAGCTGTCACCGTGTACGCCCGAAATAAAGATGCATAAGACAAGATGTTGCTGTGTCGATTTCCCAAGTTTATCGTGTTTATTGTGCGCATCTCAAAGCTGAGGTGGTGAAAACTGAAAAGAACGTATGAAAAATAGCAACTAAATATTAGAGTACACCACATTAAATACAAATTTTGCTTCCAAACTTATTACATTTGAACTTTAAGGTTAAGTGTACAGCTGAGCGTATAAACGATAACTGACAAGCCGTTTGCAGGATACATGTGACCCACTGTGCAAAAAGGTGTATTATGTCCCGCAGTGCAAAAATGCGTAATGGTCTGTTCCATGTGCTGAAGGTAATATTTGGAAATATTTTGAGGCCAATTGCTTGACCAGCAAGCCTCTGTTGCTAAACCAAGAGAGTGTCTAATTTCAGTTTAATGCTTCTCTGCGGCACGTTAAAAGGGCGCTATCTCATAAAACACATGTGATATAATGAAATTATATGAACATGCAAATGGTAAATAACTCCAAACTGCAAAATGTCACTGGGTTGAATTGTATATCAAATGAAAGCTCAGGATATGAGCAGTTTGATGATGTATATATTACTGGAATTCCAAATGACGTGACGTAATACACCTTTTTGCCGAGCCGGTCACATTTATGCACACGTGGCGCAAACTGTGGAGTTGCAGATATCCTGGGCTACAGCGTTTCCCTGAGGTCACAGCGCCTTCCTGAAATTACATATTTTACACTTCTAAACGTACTCCAGTAGATGTTACCTTGTACAAGTGTACAAATTCTGATGTAATAAATACAAGGTTACAGCAAATGTCTGGGGAGCGGGTTAGCGTGGCGGTTCTTTCCTCGCTTTGCACCAATGAGGCCCGGGTTCGAGTCCCGGCTTGGCCCAGGCCTTAAGTGCATTTGGTTTCCAGTCCATACTTGCTCTTGCAGGTTTTCTCCGGGTACTCCGGTGTCCTCCTGCCTCTAAAACTGGACCTTCTTCCTAACTCCGTAATGTGATGCTGATTAATAAAGTGTATGAATAAAGGAACAGTTATTGGCGCAAATAGCCTGAGTTGCTGAAAGCGCCATTAAAACAAAACAGCAACATGTCTGTGGCAGTATGTACTCGGGTCTTGCGGCCGCAAACGGCCCGGCTCAGCTAGTAGTGTAGGGATGTGACGGCACGGTGGCAACTCACTTTTTTTGGTGCATCACTAAGGTGTATATGGCAACCCCAAGACTGTCAGGTGACACCCAAAAATGCACCCTCTAAGTGGCTATTGGCTGAACAAGATAGTCAATGCTGGGTCAGAAGACATTCTTAAGGTTACACAATCAGTAGAAATCTATTAATCTGTAGGTGGTGATTACAGTAGCGTTGTCACAGTACCTTTCTTATGATAAAGTGTAAACAAGTCTAACAAGAAGTCACATTCTCTGAAGCAAAAGTTTTAGACTCCAAAGGATAAACACATAAACACAACAGCTATTACACCTTGGATGGCTGGTGAAATTTTGAGTTTTAGCGTTTCAAATGAACACCCCCCCCAAAAAAAAGTAGAAATGTATCTTTCAAACATCACTTGCTGTGGCTTTTGTCTCTCTGATAGGGAAATGTTTTGGCTTGAATCCACGCCAAGCCCAGAGCTGACAATTCCCGACGTGCCGAGAACGGGCAATGAGACCGTGTACGTCGTCCCCGGGCTGACCCCAGCCACGGCGTACGAGTTCAGCGCCGCAGTGCACTTGCCCCAAAGCGGCATCACCCACGACAGATCAAATGTTTTGTATGTCTTCACTGAAGAAGGTAAGGCCATTTACTAAGGCCATTCATTTAAGAATACAATCTGTGAAGTGACAATTCAGTATTACTGAAACTTCTTGCATGGCCTGACTCTGATGGGATTAGGATAATGGTTGTCTCTGTTTTCCAACAGGACCTCCATCCATTCCACGCAATGTGCGGGTGTCTGTCATATCTCCGACTGCGGTCAACGTGACTTGGTCGCCTCCTGAGCAAGTGAATGGATTTATCATGAAGTATGAGGTAATGTTGATAGCTCCTTGATCGTCTTCTAGCTCGGACTTTTATGGGACTGAATAAGAGTTGGAAATGCAGGATGACTTGGCATTAAAATCTTAAAAAGGTACAGTCCATCATTTGGTAGTTTGCTTTGGCAAGATGAGACATGTCCCCGGAAAGTCAAAAGCAAGTAATGGATTCCTGAAGTGATACATAGGTGGTTGTTTTTCCAAAATCAATTTCAGGATTTTCACATTTTTTTGGAGAGCAAAGGATCATAGGTTCCCCTCAGTTGTTTCACTTGGTAAAAAAGTGGATGTCTGAAGTGTGTTTGTTTTCATTTTTCCGGAAAATTGATAGTGTCAACCTTTTTGAGGGTGAAATTTGAGTATATTCCAAGTCTGTTTTTGAACAGTTCGCTTTTCATGCTTGTGTGAAGTTTGGCATGAAATTTATGGTATCACTGAAAAGCCCATTTCTCACTGTGTCTTCTCATATACCTCAACAAGTAAACAGTGGGGTTTTTTCCTTTTGCGGGTCACATTTGTGCATTTGGATCCTTTGAGGCAACAGAAGTTACTATAAAGAAAGGTGCCTATGAACAAACTTGATGGAGTTCCATCTCAGTCAATGCTGTACATTCTGAGGAAAGCAATAGTCTAGGATTTTGGATCAAAGTTGCCGAGTCCTGGTTCGTGTTGTGCCTGAATTCAACCCGTTGAACATGTTCTCCCATCCATCCGAATGGAGCAGCATGTACGCGTATGCGATGTCACGCACTGAACCGACAAATTGTAGTATGAACTTTAGGCGGTGCGTGTCATGACAGTGTGTATGCGCTGTCACGCACTGAACCAACAAATTGTAGTATGAAATCCAGGCGGTGCGCATCATGACAGTGTGTATGCGCTGTCGCGCACTGAACCAACAAATTGTAGTATGAACTCCAGGCGGTGCGCATCATGACAGTGTGTATGCGATGTCACGCACTGAACCAACAAATTGTAGTATGAACTCCAGGCGGTGCGTGTCATGACAGTGTGTATGCGCTGTCACGCACTGAACCAACAAATTGTAGTATGAACTCCAGGCGATGCGTGTCATGACAGTGTGTATGCGCTGTCGCGCACTGAACCGACAAATTGTAGTATGAACTCCAGGCGGTGCATGTCGTGTCAGTCTTGTGCTCTTTTTATGCCAGTGTTTAGATGGATTGTTGGATATGGCCTTTTCTCATTGTTTCCTTCCAAATGGCAGCTTGCCTGAGATCATTTCACATGGTGTTCAGTCTGTTTAAATCCAAGTTTGCTTTTCTTTTCTTTTATAATTTCTATAAGGATGGATTTGTATCATGGAGATATTAATTTAATTTTGGATATTTTCCCCTGCCCGACTTGTACTGTATCACTGTGTACTTACTGTTCACTTGATTGGGACTCGAACCCATGACTTCCTGCTCACTAGTGCAGACATCTTAACCACTTGACTCTCGAGCCTGCTGGTGTGGGCTGGCTGGTTCGAGCCAGATTTAGCGATGGGTACCAGCCACCGGACACTGGCAAGCTCGGTAGTCAAGTGGTTAAGATGTCTGAACTAGTAAAGCAGGAAGTTGTGGATTCAAGTCCAGAGTTGTATTCGAGTCCATCACAAGTCCCTTCAGAAGCCAAGTCACAAGTCCCTTCACAAGCCCTGTCACAAGTCCCTTCACAAGGCCAGTCAACAAGTCCCCTCACAAGCCCATTCACAAAAACCTTCACAAAGCTAGTCCTAAGTAACAGTTTGAACAATGACCCAAGAATGCTTTTGCCACAGCTCATTTGAAGAGCTTGTGAATTGGCTAAAGACTGAATGATGTGTGATGGACTTACAGGGACTTGCAGGGACCAGTGATGGACTCGAATACAACACTGTTGGAGTCCCACCCGAGTACACTTGTTGTTTTTTTTCATCAGTTTATGGGGGGAAAACACCGAACAGTAATCTTGTCAGTTACTTGTGGGTATAGCTGCATATGATGGATGGTATCTTTAATATCATGCCCATTGTGCCACCCAGTGGAAAAGCAGTAGCATCACCACCGTCTTGTAAACAATCTAACCTCCCCTTGTCCCTTTGACATTTCGTTCTGCATTTTTGGTTCTTTGGCAACAGGTTTTCTACCGCCTGCAATTCAGTGCGCGTTTCGACCGAAAGACGACACACACAACGTACGCGGTCATTGACGCCCTCCTCACCAACAGAGTTTATCTGTTCAAGGTAACAACTCTCCCTTCCCTTTTCCCTGAACAGCCACTTTGGTGTTTAAAGGTCAATAGCTTTCGCTCTACAGTTGAATATACAAAAATTCTGTTGCTCCAAAGCCCCACCAAAGCAGAAATGAAATGAATGCGCTTATGTAGACGTCTGTCTGTGGTTTCAGGAGCAGGTTATGTCCTCTAAAGTCCCAATTACTGATTTGATCTGAAAATGTTAAAACTGATCGAGAATTTTTATTATCAACGAATAACCTTAGCTGTGCTCACTGTCTCCACAAGATAAGTTGAGACCTTGGTTGCATCACATCTTGTGCTTTGTGCCGTGAGATTGGGTCCTAAACTGCTCACAAGACCAGTCATGTGACTTGACCTCAGATTGGAGGTCTGGTGTTGGTCATGTGATGGTCTTTTGGGGCCTTGTGATGGCCATACAATTTCTCGACTACAACATTAATTCTAAGCCAGGCTGCAAGATTGACTGTAATTCATGACTTTAGCTCTTTAGGCTCCAAAAAGCCTCCATGGAGCACACGGAGACTATGAATCTAACGCTCTTAACCAAGAGGCCACAGCACTCATCGAAAGAAATCAGCAAAGAATTTGTAAAGTGTTCTTTTTAGCGCACAGTGCTGATGTATTAAGCCGTATTAATATGGAAATGAGCTTTTAGCGCACAGTGC